ACCCACCTGGGTCCCCTTTACTATATGACTAGTTCCTTAATGATATATTGTTTTTATAGAGATATAAATTCTTACCAAGGGTTTCCATCACCAGAGTGTRCCATACTACACCATCCAGAGCAGCAGAGATCATGTCTTCCCTTCCTACATTGATGGGTTAATGGAAGGCATGTTGTAGTCTTGTGGTCGGGCCTGTGATCCATTCGATGGTCATGGTGCTCGTCTTCATGGGTTGACCGTTTCTTGAAAAAGGTAAGAACATTCACAATTGATTCTCAAAGAGAATATCTTCGTAAATTGATAATAATTTCACTAAATCTATTTATGGCATTGAACAGCATTAGCGACTACTCTCACTAGAATAGACACTAGACTCATACGAAAAATTAAAATCTTTATATACATTTATGATCTGGTACAAAATAAGGCCACAAAATTCAACATAGTATTACCTGCTTAAGATGAGCAGAATCAACAACCAGTAGACACGCAGTAAGGACAAGGATAGCAAGAACCCCCTTCATCGTTCCAGTGATGTGTTCTCTCCAACTGACAAATACTGCCCAGTTATCTCTACTAAGTACTAACATACACGTGTGGGATGCGGAGCTCTGGGAATGTTTGCTATTTGTTTTGCAAATTGACCAGTAAACAATAAGGATGAGGTTAAATGGTTATCGATCTGGGCACTTCTACTGAATCTGTTTTCTCAGTTTTCAATGTCAGTTTTCTACTTTAAAAAAGCCCTCCTATTTCTCTTTTTAAAATCATTGACGTTTTTGTAGGATCCATGCGGTAAAATACGCACGTATTATTTTTGTGCAYCATGCATGATTTTTAACTTGGACACATACTTCTTTTTACAATTTGATGCGGTTACTCTCGTTATTTGAATAAACCTATTTCTTCTCCTCCTTCTACTTTCTCTTGCTTTATTTTGTAGATTTTATCTGGTGTTGAACGCTTGAATTTGCTTCGGGAAGCTGAAAAATATTTTTTTTCATTCTTATCCATACTCATTCTAATTCATGATTTTTCCTCTTTCTCTTTCTCTTTCTCTTTCTCTTTTTCTTTCTCGATTTCTTTATTTCCCTCTTTCTCTTTCTCTTTTGGTTTCTATTTCTTTCTGAAATTGATCTAAATGCATCGCTCTTGCAAACAATCTTTATCTTATCTGATATTTATATATACAATTGTTCAAGCATACAGAAGGTTATCTTACGACATGTAGAAATGCGCTATAAACATGCCCACAGTTCAAGTTCACATTTTGTGTTCTATTTTTCTGCATTCTTGTAAAGACAAAAACCCAAGGTCATGTACTTAAAACAATGATATTCTCCTTCATAGTGCATCACTATGTGAGCGGTTTTCGTATTAGTGGGGTGGAACGATACGGTAAATTCCGTAGTCGTCTGTAGCTTTTTAACTACGCGTTGCGATTGGATGAAAAACTGGCAAGCCATTTAAATGTTACGCCACGTCGTACGATATACGTGCTGTAAAGTCGGTAACCGTACATCAATTCTGTAACATCTTTGACACTATCCACCTCTCTGATTTCCCCTTTCAAAGGTTGCAAGTGCGATAAAATCTACAGAAATTGTAACCTGTAATAAAGTAGATTGTGTTTCGGGGGGAGGGGGGAGGGAGAGGCAAGACAAAATTGGACTTCTAAAGTTCATGAAGCAAAAATGACAAGCACACTCTTGTTCCATGATGCTGAAGGATCGATATTATTTTTATTTCACTTAACCAAAATAACAAATTTAAAATGCAATGTGAAAAAGGCAGCTGCATCCGTTTTGAAACGCATGCGCAAGTCAATAAATTCTCAGCTCAGGCTGTAGCATAAGTTTAAGAAACGTTCCACTAGCGACGCAAGCAATAGCAAGCAAACAAGCAAACAAATGGAAGCTAGTATTGCGAGAAGCGCACATGTAGTTTGTTTTCACTGATCATGGTAACATCTAGCTGGAGTGCTTACTATTTGAACCAATCCATTCGATTGGAAATTCGTTTGCTATGGTAAGAAAAAGGGCGGGAAACTTTGGCTTATGACAAATGGTACACGCGTCTACCGGAAGAACCGAAAAGGGCGGGAAGATGGATCACCTCAATTGGAAGATCAAGTTGAACTCGATGAAGCCATACCACTTGTTTTCCAACCGGAATTAGCAGTTTTCCGGTAAGCACCCCTAGACGAAAATTGGTCAACGCGCTTGTATAATTTTATCAGCGACGCAAACCTTAGCGCAACCTGGAACAACAGAAACGAAAATGTTGTTTGTTGGTTTTGTCTGTTTTCATGGACAAGATTCGGACGCATTTGATTACTGCGTTTGTGTTTGTGCTTGCTTCGCTAGGGAAATGCTTCTTCCATAAATATCACTAAAGACCTGTATTCAATGATGCTCTAATGAATAAGCTTCAGATTTTCTAGCATATATAAAGAACAAGTATAAGCCAAAAAGAGTTAAGTAACTGCAGAAAACCTAAATGCATTAATAATGCAATGGAAAAAAGCTACAAAAACATATCTTAAAAAAACAATGAATTTTAGAATATATAATGTTGTTTAGATATGGTTTGTCCGGTTTACGGTCGGTCTTTGATACCCTCGGTTATCGACCAGTATCGTCCACGCTAGTTGGTCCATCATCCACTGATTGCTTCAAGAGCAGTCTGTTGCTTCTTGTTAGGGTGGTGATCTTTGTCTGAGTGCGTCCGAGCCATGCATCTTCCGTGTGTCATCTGATTTATTGCGCTGGGAAAGAGAAAAATTAAATATAAGAAAACGTATTTTTACAAGCATCACTCACTCTCTTCCGTGAGGTTCGCTCTAAACTCACGGTTTTCCGGTTTTTCTCCCTCCGTAAAAATCAGCATACGAGTTGAGTGTAGTGGTACTACATTCTATACATTCAACACTCAAATCACATGTTGGTTTTTACGGAGGGAGGAAAACCAGAGAACCTAAGGAAAATCCCTCGTGGCAAGGGAGAGAACAACACACCAAACAAAGTTTAACTCCATTTACATATGCGGCTCAGCCGGAAGTCGAACCAGTGAAGTACGCAGTGGTGAGAAACGGCAACTTAGCAGCGCATGCCATCCATAACAATGCCCCCAAAATAATGGGATTGAAGCGAAACAAGAAATCGCATCATGAACAAGTCTGCTGCTTCATGCGCCAATGCAGCCAGGTTTCGATTCCCGGACAGATAGCTCAACACGGCCCCGAAATTTTCTTTCCTTTTTACTGTAAAACAAACCTCTATTTTGCGGATAGATACCCTCTACTTGAACGCGCACCAGGCAAGTACCCCTAGGAGCTAGATTTCGTTCCAGTTGGTCTTGCACATCCAAGATAATTTTGAAGAAGTTACCATTCCCGACCTTTTTTTTATTCCCTTGGAAATCGAATTCCTGGCTCCACGCCGAAAAGAGAAGAATAAATAATTATTGAACTATTTGAATTATTTTACTCACGTAATGCTTCCAGGTCCGACATGGATCATACCACAGTACCCTGAACAGCACAGATGATGGTGTCCTTTCAGACAAAGGTGGCGGTTGGGGAAGCAATGGTTGTGGAAGTCGCGAAGGTGAGTTTGACGTTTCTATCAAAATGTAGCTAGTTATTAAAAACTACTCAATGAAAGGATTTTGAATGGGTTGTTTTATTAAGAATATTCCGGAAAATTGATTTCAAAGATAGCGCAATGTCTAGCACAAGGACTTGTACATTTGCAGTTTGTCTTGAATCAAGGTAACGCCGCTGAGATTTACATGAATTAGAATCGTTTTACTTAACCAAAAGTTCGATCTGGCGTCGAAAGATTTTACATCTGGGGCGAGAGACTGCGCAATCACTATCTGTAATCAACGTAGATTAAATTTATATACTTTGAAAAGGAATATCCCTTACCGGTCGTCTAGCAGGGCTGCACTCGGTAGCCACAGCTAACAGTACTACCAAGAGAATAACGAGGAAGTTCCTCATGATTGTATGACTTGACCGCGTACAACGTGCTCCTAACGAAGTAACTTCAAAATAACTCTCCCAGCTCGAGTCTCTTTCAACTTATTTGCCTGGAGAGCTGCTTTGTTCCAAAGGGTTATCTCTGGGTCAAAATGTCTTGATGTTTGTTGACTATTTTGAGTGAGGTGAATTCTAGAAAAGTTCTTGTGACGATGCACGTTCAAGTTAGTTATGAGGCAATCTCTGCTGGGGTTGGCTCTTTCTTTTTCTTATCTTCACTTCCCTTCCACTCTCTTCTCTTTTCTTGTTTCTTTTCCTTCTCTTACAGTTCCTTTTCTTTTTCTCGTACTTTCTTCAATCCATTCTAGTAAGGAGACCAGGAATCTTACTTTGTCTGTAATATCGACAAATTCTGGAAATTACTTCAAGAGTACGACCCTATACCTAAACACTAGATAAGCAGGCTCCTTCGGCGGTCTTATCGCTGAATAGATGTTTGTTTATTTGATATAACAATGCTGGCGATCATGCAAGGCACTCGGAACTAAGTATGGGGAGAAARATGGAGATAAAACAATGTTTCTGTAAACAACATCTCTCATATGACCGGAAAATGTAAGTTCTTTAATCTATCTATTGGTCTTGTCAAAATAAGGTCAGGTATAGAATTTAGCAGACAGCTAAATTGGTGATATCGCACAGTGGCTTAAGGCGCGATTACGCGGAGCAATTTTCTTTGGAACGGCGTTGCGACACAAGTTTCATGGAGCATTGCAGCGTGTAACCTACAGTACAATTTGAAAAAATGTTGCGAGACAAGTTGCAGCAATTGTTTGCGTCTCCGTTGTGTCGCAACGCTATTTCAAGACAGGTGGAAGAGAAAATTGCTTCGTATTAATCGCGCCTTTTGGGAAGGACGGAGACATGGGTGACGAACACCCCGATCCTTAAAATTGATGTCTCCCAATCAAACATATCATTTGGCACTTGCTTTTAGTGAGCTTTAATTCCTCGCCATCTTAATACAGATATATTTCTATTGAACTGACGTTAATTGCTGCAGTTTTCAACAAACCATTTTGGACAGATTTAGCAAAGGTGAAGACCTAAATATACACATTTGATGGTGTCCTCCTCTTTCCTAATTCTGTCTGTCAAATGGCTTCACACTGATCCCAATACTCCAGTTTCGAGTTCTCTGTTGCTCAGGGTTAGCCTCTATTTTGTGTAGAATATTCACGTGTTCCAGTGAAGGTTTGTCGAGTTTCAAAGTGTTTGTATTGTTGAAGTTGTGCATTTTTTACTTTACCGTTGGTATTTGTGAATATTTAAACACTGATACGAGGCTAAGCCTGAGTAAATGAGTCTGTAATCAGGGAACACAGCGGTAATTTGGAACTCGAAAAAGGTCTATTGCGACTCCAAGTATATAATTTTTTGCAGATTAGTAAAGATTTTGTAAAGACAAGCTTTTATGGACAGAATACAAGGGCGCTTGGAGAAAAGAAGTTTCATTGGCGGATCCAGAACGATTTCAGGGGGGGGGGGGGGGGGGGGTGGGTGACTGTCCTTTTTAGGTTTTAAATTATCCTGCATTCTTATCTGGATTGTTTTTCAACTTCAAAGGGGGGATGGCTAGCTGCCCAACTCCACCATTCGCGGATCCGCCGTTGAGTTTATATTCCCTCGTTTAAAAAACTCTTCATTCCGATGCAATTGCTCGTGAAATATTAATCAAAGTAACCGAGAGAAAAACATATATATCTTTGAATATGCACTGGTGGAAATTATTTTGAAAAAAAGATTATTACCATGAACATCACTTAATCTTTTTGCGATGGTTCAACAACGCATATTTTAAAAACGCCTCTCCGAGTTTGACTCGTAATATGTTGATTGATCAAAGAGCTTTAAATTTCCTTGATCTGCGTCCAGATCCGGAATCAAGTAACAGAATCTCAATCTTCCTTCAGCATTTCCAGACATAGGTCAATCCAGCCCGCCTGACGCATACTATTCTGAAGAAATAGTAAACTCGCGCGCGCGTGCTGTGTGCAGTTATAAAGCACGCGGGGGTTGGCAGAACACTCCGCTCACGATTCCTGCTTCTCGGCACTTCTTGAGTGTCCTGCCAATCACCAAGTGCTTTATAACTCCACAAAGCACGGCAAGCAAGTTTTTTATTTCTTTTATAAAATACAAATTACAATAACCGTTTTTTTTTTTTTTGGATGGGAAAGACGCAACTGAAAGTGAGCGCGCGCGTGCTGCGTGTGTGCTCTAATAAAGCTCGCGCTCCCAACCAATCAGAACGCGGTATTTATAACAGTTATTCATAATTGTCTATCATATATAACTTACTATGTGTAAAATATTTTAAAGATTGATTTGGTAACCCTTTATTTTATACTGGACAATAGAACCATTGCAGCAATTCCCAGCACAATTGAAGGTTAGAGGAGAAAACAGCAACAGCTGCTACAGCAGTAATAACAATAAAATAGAAAAGACACTTTTTAGGCGAGACATAGTAGTTTTACAGAAGTCATGTTGTCGGGCAAAACAACAGAGCATTATGTTAATCCATTAGCCTCTCTTGCATGAGACTTCTTGCATAGTGCAGACATTGTTTCCAGACTAGTCTCCTATCTTCTACGCAACCAATATTAGGCTCTTCACGCAACGCTCACTCCTAAGTACTAAGCTACTTAGGGGAGTGAGCGTTGCGTGACAACACTAATAGCGGCTGCGTAGGAGACTACTTCCAGACCCGACCGTTATAAAAGTTTGTCTTTGCTTTCGAATTGAGCGTGACGCGCTGGGAATGGCTGCTCGGGTCTATAGAAGCTACAGAAAACTGTCAATGACGTCTGCTACGTCTTCAATTATTTCTTAAATGGGCTCACCTAAAAAACTGAACCATTAAAAATGTTCTAATAAGATACCAATCTCACCTCRGACTAGTTTGGCGTTGTAGCAATTGGGAATCCTGGGACAGAATGCCTTTATAAGCACTAGGCGTAATGACGTCATAACTATCTTATCAAGATTCTTACAAGTTTGCGTCATTTCCCTATCCAGCTCAATGTGGTGACAAGTGACAGCCAAGAGAGGTGATAGGTTTTCATGGTGTCAATTTGAATTTCTTTTAATTCCTCCCCAAACCTTGCTGATTTTCTGACGTTCTCAACTGCGTGGTACTGGTCAATTGGCGTGTTTTGGAAATTCAAATGCGACGGCCAATGCCTAGAACGTACAGTCATTGTCCCAGACTTGTCTATGTATCTTGAACGATAGACTCCACATCTAGTCTAAGAGACTGCCTACTTCTTAAGTGAAGGTGCTGAACAAATGGGTAGAATATAAGAAGTCTACTGATTTCATTACTTGTGAACAATGTGGGCGACTACGTCTCAAGATTCAGGCGCGCTTTTCTTACTGGGTACTGATGAGCATTCGTTTAGTAACCGCCTGACTGGTATCCAGGCTTCCTTGGGTGGAACCTGAATTGAAGATGGAGGAAGGTTAAGGGTTACTTCAGCCTCGTACCCAGACCCTACTCATTAGGTTTTCTTTAAAGTGATTTAGGGTCTGGGTACGAGAATAGTGTAAATAAAAAAATCAATATAGTGTAGTTGCCAAGCCTACTATGTAGGGATTGGCTGCTATTCTTTTCTATATCTTCTTTGATACTTGGGCAACTAGCCATAAAATAGAGGTTGGACACTTAACCAGCTGATCTGAAATAGTGACGTAAAATGACGTCAATGCAAAACTGAGGTGTTACAAAGCCTAAGAAAATTGGCCAGCGAAAAATAAAAAACCTGCCAGCCATTGCAATAAGGATATAAGACTCATTAGTTATTGTGTCACTGTAATAACCTCTTATTAACGTCTTTTCTTCATTTGGTGGCCTGGAAATCCATAATTTCAAGAGGAAAAGTGACACCTCAGTTTTACAAATTTTCTCGATTGTGATTGGCTAACATTTTCTCTCAGATCAGCTGGAACAGAGGTGTAAATTAGTGCCAAAATCAGGCCAGTAGCTACGCCCCTCCTCCCATCCCAAGCTCACACTATGGGCCTAATAATCCTCCTTGGAACCTAAATAGAGGGCAGGGGCAGATCCAGGGAGGGGGGGGGGTGAATTTTCTGAGCATTTGTCTTCAAATTTCATAATTAAGTTGTT